TAGGACTTCTGTCTCTCAGAGGTACTGTCTATAGACTATATGTATACTAACTCTTACTACTACCCTTCCTTACTTCATCATTCTATTCCTTTGACCACCCCTTCATTCCTTGTTCATTCTATAGTCTCTTACCCTTTGTCCATCCCTTCATTCTTTGTACCTTTATCTTTGACCTTCCTTTCTCTCATTCTTTATAGCTTATTATTCTTAGTAGTTCATACTCTCTGAGTACTCTTGTATAGTTTAGTATATATAGGTGTACAAGATCAGACTGGTTCTGTAGTCTTGATCTTGTCTACTCTAGGTAGTCCTATACTCTTAGGCTCACTCTATATACTCTACTCTTGTCTCACTCTCTCTCTCTGCCTGTTCTACAAGTTCCAACTATGTTCTAGTGCTTACATTCTGTATTTCTGTTGTGTAGGATAGTTGTAGCCTGGGTCCCCTTACTGAGCCTTCAGGTCCCCTCTACACTGTTGCTGACAGTATACTACATACAAAGATGTTGAGTAGAAAAGCATCTCTAGTACATAATGAAATATACAGAACTATCAAACAGAACTATACTTTCTGTAACAGAACATATATTACATTGAAAATAACAATTATGTATTATGCAAAACTTACAACACTTATTCTCTAACATGTAGGACATAATAGTGAATGAATAACTAAACAAACAAAATAATATTTGGACATATAACTGAGAAACAATCCAGGCAAGCTAAAGAATAGTACATATTCCTAAAGTAATCTACACTAGACATGTAAAGTACTTGCTAAAATTAAAAGAAGTAACAGAAATAACAGTAATCAAAACATTAATCCTTTTGAATAAAACAAGATAATGTCAATCATAATGAACAAAAATGAGCAATACACTCAAAATAAACAAAATAAATTCATATTTTATAACAAACACACACACATATTCAGTGAATAAAGCAAATATAATGATTAAAACAATATTAAACAGAATTTGATACAAAATAAACAATAAACAAACAAATATTACAATATATGATGAAAAATAGAGCTGTGAAATACACTATTTCATCTATCTACAAAATAAAAACAGTGAACATGTATTATGATTGTGCAAAGTAATATATTAGTCAAATAACATTATACAACAATAATAAAAACATTATCACAACAATAAAACAATACAAACATACAAATAATGTTATAGTTTGTAAAGTTGAAGGACACATTAATTGATAACAAATGTAATGCACACATATATTAATATTAAATATATTTATTGTAAAACAGTAAAAAGATACAAACATACTATATGTTTAAAACATAAATAATGTGTCTAAACAGACTTACAAACAGTCAGATAATAAAATAAAAACAAATTACAATGAATAAAACCTTAATCAACCTTAATATAAAGCAATCTGACATATCATACATGATATTACAAATTGCAAACAATACAATGCTTCAATATAAAGGTATAGAACTATTATTAAATGCTTAAAAGGTATGAATACAAAACAAACACAAGCAAAGATGATACATGATGAATAGAGGACATTATAATAACATTAACAGCACATTTTATAGGCATGATTCAACAGTTTCATTGTGAAAGTAAAAGTGGAAAAACTACTAGTAATACAATACAAATGTGCAAAAATACAAATTAACAAGAACAAATTAATAACACACACATTATTATTAAACATAGTATTAAATATACAAAAGAAACAATACAAACAAAGTACAATTATAATTACACATTGAGTGTAAGAATACAAAACAAACTACATGTATAATAATACAAATACAAACAGAACAAATAACAGAACAACTGTAGAACATACAGTATGAAAAAATAAACATACTATGACACAAAACAAGCAATATGACATGAAATACAAACAAAACAAAGTTATATCATATCATAAAATATTACAAACAAGAAAACTACTATCATACAAATGATAAAATGTTATAGTGACAACTATAACATTAATAATAATAAAACTACAAACAAACAAACACTAAAGAGATCCTGCAACTCTCTTAGCAATCATAATTGAATTAACAATTGATTTATTACATCAAACATAATAATAATAATACATTAGACAAATGTAACACTTACAGTAAACTTAATATACAAAGTAAACAAAACATTTACATTGTGAATGTGAATGATATTAATAAAAACAACAGACAAACACTTATCAAACATTATATTAGCCTGATCAACTAGTATAAGTTTGAAGGGGAGTGTTAACATTTATTTCAGATAAATGTGTCTAATGTCTTACTATACACATATATGTGTTATACAATACAGAACAGTCTCATTACAATGTGTTATTATACTGAGATATTAACTGAGACATACATCTAAGACATACAATATAGAATAGCATATATAATACTTTAATCTAAGGACAATGATGCTCATACAATGAAATACAAACTATGTAGTTGACTTGTATTAACACCTACACACTATGAGCAGAGTCTACTAAACCCCTACTTGTGTGACTTACACTTAGGGAAACATTACAACCTTAAAACACTAACAGATACCTTTGTCCTGTCAGTCTTTGTGTGTTACTACAAACTCAGAACTTGTTCACAACAGTATTCAGCACTTCCCTAGTACTATTCTAATATAATGTTGTTTTGTTTGTTTTTCATGTCATATTGTCTGTTTTGTATCATAGTATGTTTATTTTATTATAGTATGTTGTTCTACATTTGTTCCATTATTTGTTCTGTTTGTATTCATATTATTATATGTGTAGTTCATTTTGTATTCTTACACTTAAAGTGTAATTAGAATTGTAGTTTGTTTGTATTGTATTGTTTGTATAGTTACTGCCTTTTTCATAAGTATTGTCACACTTGATGA